TGAGATGTGAGAGCAGCTCCATTGAGTTTTATAACTCGTGCAAACAACGTTCCTCCGTTACGCACAATCGAGTCTGAAGCCGCCAAGAAATTCCAGTAACTGACAGTGTGCATTATCAACAATGTTTCAGATATGTTTTTTTTTTTTTTTTATTGTCACATGGTCCACAACATTTTTTATTTTGTCAAAGAGCTGTAAAGAACAGAATGGGCACAGACTAAAGTCAGCAGCAGGATATACGGCAAGACATTTCATCTGACCCACAAACTGAACTCCCCACTATGGGCTGGGCCAATCACAGGCGAATGGGGAAATACCATGCTAAAAACAAAGCTTACATAACACAGGCCTGCTAAATGAGCTGTGTGATTATCTACCAGAATTATGTTTCTCCATTTTTCTCCATTCATTGCAGTTATTTCCTTTCAGTGCCTACTCAATGTTAATCAGGCCATGTCCCATCAAAACCAGCTGTCACATGAATAGGGTGTGCATTTCCAAAATAGGAACAAAGCAGAGCATTTCTCAAGGTGAAGCATTCTCCACCGCGTGAGAACTGTTTGTTTGAGAGTCAGTTGGCAAAACTGAATCAGCTTGTTAAACTGTGATGCATCAAATAAACAGACACGGTATGAAAAATTAAAGCTCTGGTGATGTGGGAGAGAACTGCTTATGTTACGAGTCCCAGCTGGATGGGACTAATTTTAAAAGATCTGCACAGTGCAAAGCAGCGGGGCTACGGCAAGTTATGTACTGCTGTAGTCTCGACAGGATGCAGCAGCAGCACCATTGCGTGAGAAGCTAAGGGACATAGAGACCTGATGCCAACCGCCTGAATACCACAGAGACGCCGCAGCCCAGTGTTCAGCTAATTTCAAGCCACTAAATGTCACGAAGGTTGAGGTGAACAGACACAGCCACCCCGCACAAAAACTCTCTCACTAGAGTGCTAAGCTTACACACAGATAACCTAATATCCACACAGAGTTATCTGGGCTCACACCACATGCACAAACATAATCCCATGCTTACACACACACACACACACACACACACAGCAATTACAGCCACATGTGAAATGGAGAGGATATATATCTCGTGTCTCTCCCCATCTGTCCTTTGTCACCAGGCATTAGGGCGATTGTCAGACAGTCGTGAAGATGGTACCAATCATCATTTCCACAAACAATAAAAACACAACTACAGCTGTGCCCTCATTGGCGTGATGCTTCTGCGTGCAGGTCTTTGAGCGGGTCACTCCCTGTCAGACGCTGTGACTCTGTCACACCACTTTCTAGAGAGCCACTTCACGACTGGATCTCAAAGCCATGTTCACCGCTGAGCACATAAAACTCTACAGGGCAACAAAGTAATAACTGAAAAAACGACACTTTTGTGAGGCCGTGTGAAGTCCAAATACTGAGACTTGATATTATTGGAAAGAAATCACGACAGACACTAACAATCACATGAATATGTCAGTGGAACAAGCTGCTTTTTTACTTTCCTATAGTACAGAATTTGCTTCTTACTGTACAGGTCTGACCATTCTGTAAAGGCCACATTTCATTCATCCCTATTGTTGAATGAACGGTCTCCGCTGCTCCTTTGGGACAGATCTGCATGACCTCATGAACCGCCATGCATGCAGTGGATACTTCCGTTAAACCGAAAAGTAAGAGACACTAAGATAAAAAAAAAAAAAAAATGCTTCTGATTGAGAAGGAAAACACAGTGGAACTGGCAAATACCATTAACACACATACTAATGCTCAGTCTTGTCCATTCTGGGAGAAAAATGGCTCAATGTCAGACTTGGATGAAAGTGGAATTCCCCTGTTTTTTTAACAGCACATCCTTTCTCCAGATCTTGGTGATTATTGCTGCAGTCACATCCTGTTGAGTCCATGAGCCTGTCTCACAAAGCAGGCTATAGTTGGTTAACTAACTAACTTAGGGGTTAAACCACACATTTTTGTCTCAGGACAATGGCTTGATTTTAATTTTCTCCATTTGCATGGTATCCAACATGGCAAACTAGTATTGTGCAATAAATACAATTTTATTTTTAAATTCAGATTTTGGCTTCCAACAATTATGATAACAAAAGCATCGAGATTAAACAATTATTGAACAGCATTACATTTCACAATGATACTCCTGTGTTGTTGTCCGTTACAGATCCAGCATACTCCTTTCCCTTAAATCTGTGGCTCTCGCCCCTCCCTAAAAGCCCAAACTCGCTCTCAGCCAGGCTGTTGCATGTTAAGTTCAGCGGGGTTATAACTGATACAACTTGTTAGTCACCATTATTTGCTTATTATTATACCTATGGCATTTTACTACCCACGGCTAGCAGACATTTCCTGTACTCACAGATCAACGCATTACATAATATTTTTGCTTTTCTTCCACATTGTTGTTTTATGTCATACATCTCCCAACAGAACAACACTGTTGAATTTCAGCGTTACGTAAAACCTAGTTCACACTACACGATTTTTAGCCTGACCTGCCAGCCGGAGAGCTTGGCGACCGTCAGGCTGCGATCAGGGGTAAATCAGAGATCGATTGGCGGCCGCCACTCGTTATGTATGAACCACTGAACGACGCATCAAAACGGCTCCCCGACACATTTCTGACACATCGCCGACACCAGCCAGTTATCTATCATATCAAATATCTGGAGGAGTCGGCCGACTCGACATCCACATCCAGCCAATGAGAGCAGCAGCTGGCAGAGCAGGCAGCTACTTTTTCACCTTAACACTTTTTACTCCCCCTCCAGCTCTCTCTGTAGCTCATACAATCCCCGCTACCTGCATGTGCTAATACATTCTTTCACACATATTCTTTGTCTTTATAATAACAAACAGCAGACTGTTTCGCATGTCATTTCCCGTTTCCCCGTGTATTTTTTTTGACAAAACGTGGTTTGGAGACCAGCGCCGGGTGACACAGTCACTGTCAGCTCGTGTAGTGTGTGACACCGTCACTGATCAGTCACGTAGCCACAGCGACTTCAACTATCATGTCACAAGATGGCAAGTTGTGTAGTCTGAACAGCATAGCCATCGGCCGATGCTGAAGGTCGTGTAGTCCTTTAACGTAATGGGTTGTTGTTAACTCCAGTAGTTCACCAGTCTCTCCTCTGCTCCACTCCGTGTGAGTGAGTGAGTAGAGTAGAGCCCCTTCAGTGGCCCAGCCGCCACCGAATGGACAAAATTACCCCACTCATGTTAAAGTTTCAACTACAGAACAATAAAAGATGCGGCTACCCACCACAAAACTATTTTTATTTCCATCATATCAGATGCACATTGTTTTCTTTTTATGGATGCTATGGCTTTGTTGTGTGTTCTGATTTGGGTCATGTTTGCAGTCCGTGCGTTTCACTGTGGCTATAAAAGGACTTTAAAAGAATAGCAAGTAGCAATAGATGCTTTTATCAGTACTATATTACATTTACTGCATACTGTTTTATATTCATTGTACTGCATTTACTGTATCACAATACTGACAGTGCAGCTCAAGGCTCGTGCAGGCAGATCGCCATGTTCAGACTACACAACTTGCCAACTTGAAGTCATTGTGGCGTTCACATTAGGCGACTGATCGGTAACAGGGGATCACACACGACACGAGCTGACAAAGACTGTCACCAGACTGGTCTCCAAACCACATTTTGTCCAGAAAACACACGTGAAATGCTTCATCTACAAGACCACGCCTTCAACTGTGCTGCTCAACAATGTGCTGCTCTGTGAGCTCTGTGAATTGGAAATAGCTTCACTGCAGCCCAACTGCTGTCCACAAACACGTGAAGCGAAAGTATCCCAGAGCACTGATGGCAGCACTGCAAATCGTGTTTACTATATGCTATATTTTTATTTACTCTAGCATTTGAAACTGCAATGCCCCGATGTTCCTGTAGGGATCAATAACTTCCATGAGTATTAAATGTACTTTATCCGCTGATTTGTTTGTTACAAACCCTAACTCCTTCATATGTAGGCACTCATAAACTCAATAACCAGCTTTATGAGAGTGGTTATCCAGAACAGCTAGTGTTTCATTTGTGAAACCAGATAACAGAGCCTGCCTCAGTTGCACTATAAATAACACAAGTAGGGCTGAAAAACTACCAATTATTTTCAGCACAGATTAATAATTTTGTCAGTGGCACGTCAAACGGCAACCACAAGTTACTAAAGCCCAAGTAATGTCTTTAAATTAGGGGTTAACCAAGACATTCCTAAAATAGATTGGTCTGAGATATATGAAGCCTTGTGTATTTCTGATCCTTTGTGTATGGCGCTCAGCTTACATGAACTGTCAAAGATTCCCAACAGTTAGAAACAAATGAACCACAAAGCAGCATTAAACAATCAGGCAGCAGTTTTTATTAATATCTACCCTTTTAGAAAACATCAGTGAGTCAAAAACCTCTTCTGGTTGACAATTAAGCGTAATTTTTCAGGTGAACTATGCCCCGTGGCTCAAAAACTGAATTAAACAATGGCTGTCCAAATCATGCCCAAACTTGCTAGCAGTACAGTAGCACACATACACTCCTCAGAGTGAGGAAGAAGGTTAAGAAGGCCAAATTCCTGTGCCAAGTTTCTTGTCTTTTTCGACAGAGGAGCAATAGAAAGCATCCTGACTGAAAACATCGCTACCTGGCATGGGATTTGGACGGCCCAGGACCGGACACTACAATGGAAACCGCGTGTAGTGCTCACGGTTATAGTTTAGGCAATAGCCTGATTATAATTTGAACTACAGTAAGATATATTTTCTATACTGTATTACTATATAGTGTGGTGTCAATTAGATGGTAATTTTTGACTTCCTCTTCTGGTCTTTGAGCAAAGAACATTAGACGACTGGTGGTGCAGAGGAGAATAAAATAAGACATAACTGGGAGCACCACAAGTCAGTAAGACTTAAACGTAATGTCAGGTCAGACTACACAGCTGACTACTGCCTACATTTCTTACCTGGCAAGGCTGGTGGGGTAAGAGGAAGAGCTTGAGAAAGCATCACTGGGCCTGTGCATCGCCAAGTTGTCCCCAACACCTGGGCCTCTGTTCCAGGGCCCACCAATGGGTGTTAATGGGAGATACAGGCTGGACACTGGCTTCTGATCCTTCTGCTGCTGAGCTTCATTGCTGCTGGGGTTGACTCCAAAGTGGAAGCTTTGTCCTCCTGAAGTGCTGACCCCACAGATGGAGATGGGGTTAGAGTTGGACATGTCTGTGGAGGACCTGTCACTCATTTGGCAATAACTCTGACCTGCAGACATCTTCTCCTGTTTGATCACACCTTGGGTGCAGAGCTGAATGAAGCCAGCATCTTTTTCTTTCTTCACCAATGCAGACAAAGTGGTTGTAGGGGTTAAGGAGGTAGTTGTGGATACGCTGGAGATGGACTGATCTGGACTGCCATTGAGAGCAACAGAGACTGCTGCGCTACGGTTAATGTCCTCAACCACGGCGGCCTTTATGTCCTTTTCTGAGCTAACATCCCCAAGCATTGAATCATCTGCCAGAGAAGACAGGAAGGCATCATCCCCTACATAGAAATCTGAGGGGGACCCAGTCAGCTCGAAATCTTGGAGCAGGTCCAGAGTGTTGTCACTAAACAATTTCTGGTTCACGTCCACATCTTTCTCAATGTGCTCAAAGGCATGATCAAGGTCAATGGGGTCCTGGTCTCCTTTTTCCATGGAGAAATCCTCTGTTCTCATGGGAAAGAAGTTGGGATCTGATCCCCCAATAAGTGAATCCATGGAGGACTGAGTAATGTCCGCTATACTGGCCTCCAACTGGGCCAAATTGTCCCTCAAGGTTTGACGCTCAAACGTAGCGGAAGTCTGTGTCTGGAGTAACTGCTGCTGAAGCCTCTGATCTTTGGTCAGGCCCCTGGGTTCTGGGTCTTCCAACAAGGGGCCTACAAAGGCAGTGACAGAGGTGGAGGTGAGCTCCTCTGGAAGGGGGCTGTTGCTTAGTCCGTTAATAGGCACCTGCCCTGGCTGCATCAATGAGTTGGATGGAAGAACGACAGAGGTGGCAGAGGTGATGGACATTGCACTGTGAGGAGCCACTTTCAGTAGACCTCCCTCCTCCGGGCTTTCAGTGTAGACCAGTTTGCTTAAATGGCCATCTCTTATGTATGTTATCTTCTTCACTCCACCATTATCCATCTTTTTATTGGAGGGGGGAAACAGACAGAGAGCGTTACCGGACAGGCGTAAATAACTTTAGAGTGCACTACAACAACAACATTAAAACACATTTCAAGGCGATTGTCAGACGTCATTTAAAACCAGTGCCGCTACACTGCAAAGTAATTTAAAAAGGTTTCACTTTGTGCACATGCAGACGAACTAACGTGCTCCAAACTAACGAACCTTAGATTAATATACGGTTGGGGAAAGTTGCCATACATGCAACCTCGCGCGCCCTTGATAACTAACGAAGCTAAAGTAAGCTAATGCAGTTAGTTATTTAATTAGCAAAATGTTCACACGAGCGCATAAAAACGTGTCCGTGTTATATCGACTGTACGTAAAGCAAACAGAAATAGCACAGATTCAACCACAAATCAAAAACAGAGAGCCGTGAACTTTACTCAAGTCTAACACGTATGCTAATATTGGCTTATTGCTAAATGTTAGCATGCTATGTAGCTACGTGCCCACATTTCGGTCGAATGTCGTTGACAGCAACGTTAGCATGCTAGCCAACATAGCCCCTAACATTATGGCACATTTGGGGGTAAATGTGCTACGGTGCTGTGTTTGTCTTCAGCTAATACATACAAAGCCAGATCTAAACAAAAGCTCATATTTACCCTTGAAATGCCTGATTGTTGTTAAGTGTCCACAGGTCGTCTGTCAACATTGTTTTGGTTGAAAGTGGCAGTCCACAACACGCAACACTGACTCAATGTTAGTTAACGCTAACGTTACTCCTCACGCGTCGTATCCTACATACATGGCTTGATCAAAACGACAAAAACACACCGAGCTGGGTGTTAATGAATGGTCCCTCTTCTACTTCGACCCAGCTGTACACTGTCACACAAACTGCGTTGAACTGGCTGAGCTACGGTGATTCGCAGCTAGCCATTAGGAAAGTAGGCGCTAACCTTTCAAGAAAAACATACAAAATGGAGAACTGAGCAAGCCAGGCCCATGGCAAAACTGTTTACGACATGCAGCGCCACCTGCTGGCCGCGCCCGGTAACTGCAGCTTGTTATGTTTGGAGTTCAAGATAAAAACAACGACAAAAAAAGGCAGCTAAAAGTAAACATAGAACAAAAGTTAATATCGTTGTTACTATTATTTCTGTTCATTAATATCTTGATACGAAAGTGAGCAATTGTAAGAGTTTCCCTTCGGGGACCAATTAAGTATTTCTGATTTATCAGAATCAGAATCAGTTTTATTGCCAGGTATGTGTACACATACGAGGAATTTGACTCAGGATTGTACATTGCTCACGATGTGCTTACTTATACAATAATAAAATAATACTATAATAATAATAAAATAAAATCAGACACAAACTACAGAGAGACAACACTAATATACACACTATGAACAAAACAATATAGACATATTGACAAATAGTGCAGTAATCAGAGTGCAAAGGATGCAAGAGTAAACTATTCTCATTATGTACATGTTGAAGGTGGATATGATACAGGTACACATGTACACAGTGTGATGGAGCATAGTGCAAAGGATGCTGGGAAAAAAAAAAAAAATAAGACCTATGACCTTATGACCTGAGGTAGGTGTATTGGTATACAGTATATACAATATGACATAGTACGAACATAGTATGAGCAGCACTGAAATAGGAATGGTGAATAAATAAATAATAAGTGGAAACCAGTAAACAGGTGCTGATTAGAGCAGAGTTACTGGGTTATTGCACAGGAATTGTTCCTGACACTGTGAGTCAGAAATCAGCTGTTCATCAGTGATGGTTTGTGGGAAGAAACTGTTCCTGAGTCTGTTGGTTTTGGCGTACAGTGCTCTGTAGCGCCTACCAGAGGGGAGGAGCTGGAACAGGTTGTGTCCGGGTGAGATGGATCTGCAGTGATGTTTCCTGCCTGTTTCCTGACTCTGGAAATGTAAAGTCCCGAATGGAGGGCAGGTTGGCACCGATTATTTTTTCTGCAGTCCTGACTGTACGTTGTAGTCTGTCCTGTCCTTTTTGGTGGCAGATCCAAACCAGACAGTGATGGAGGTACAGAGGACAGACTGGATGATGGCTGTGTAGAAGTGGATCAGCAGCTCCTTAGGCAGGTTGAGCTTATTGAGCTGATGCAGGAAGTACATCCTCTGCTGGGCCTTCTTGATCATGGTGTCAGTGTTGGGCTCCCACTTAAGGTCCTGGGATATGGTGGAACCCAGAAACCTGAAGGATTCCACAGCAGACACAGGACTGTTGAGTGTGGTGATGGGGGGCAGAGTGGGGGGGCTCCTCTGAAGTCCACGGTCATCTCCACAGTTTTGAGCGTGTTAAGCTCCATGTTGATCTGACCGCACCAGAGAGCCAGCTGATCAACCTCCCGTCTGTAGGCCGACTCATCCGGTCCCGGACGAGGGACCGGATCAGCGAACTTCAGGAGTTTGACAGATGGGTCCCCTGAGGTGCAGTCGTTGGTGTAGAGGGAGAAGAGCAGTGGGGAGAGCACACACCCCTGGGGGGCGCCAGTGCTGATAGTCCGGGTGCTGGATGTGATGTTTCCCAGCCTCATCTGCTGACTCCTGGAGGTTGGAGGTTGGCACAGTGAGCTGGGTGAGTTTGGTGCTGAGGATGTCCGGGATGATGGTGTTGAACGCCGAGCTGAAGTCCACGAACAGGATCCTAGCATATGTCCCTAGAGAGTCGAGGTGTTGCAGGATGACCGGGATGACTGAGTATTTGAAGCAGGAGGGAACTTCACACAGCTCCAGTGATTTGTTAAAGATCTGAGTGAAGATGGGGGCCAGCTGGTCCGCACAGATTTTCAGGCACGATGGTGAGACACCGTCAGGTCCAGGAGCCTTCCTGATCTTCTGCCTTTGGAAGAGGTGGCTCACATCCTCTTCACAGATCTTGAGTGCGGGTGAGAGGTCAGAGGGGGAAGGTGACTATTTGAAGATGGCGTTGGAGTGGGGGAGAGGTGTGACTCTGGGCTTTTCAAACCTACAGTAGAAACCATTCAGCTCGTCTGCCAGTCTTATGTACTTGCAAATGGGTGAAAAAACCCTATATAAATATATAAAGCAATAATGACCAACATACAACGTCTATATACAAATAATCTCTTCAAATAAAATCTGAGGACAATTTCTTATCCAAATAATAACCAATAAATTATGGTATGATACATGTTCACATTTCCTTGGCAAATAACCATGTATTTCAGTGCAATTTAGTAATGCTATCTTAGCACATAAGCATTTGTCTCATATGATTGTTCATCTGCTGGTGTGGGGGCTCCACTGTCTTGCAGCTGTTAACGGATCTTCTGACAGGCAGAAAGACATCTGAGGCAGAGACTGCGAGAGACAATTATGAATGGACATTGTAGTCATCCAAAATGCACTGATAACTGACTGAAGAAAACTAGCCTATGCTATATAGCTGCCATGTCAAAAAGGCTAATAAATTATGATTAAATCACAAGATTATTGTTCAAATCTGATGCAACTGGTTGTTGGGTGTAAATATGGATGCAAGAACATTTTAGCTAACACTTCAATCTAGTGTTTATATGTAGATTAGAACTTGTCTTTTTATCCTACAGTAAACTGAAGCATTTTGCTCCTTGCTACACTGGTCTGTAGCCTGTAGTGTCTCAGTCAGGATGGGAGACAATGGCAGTTGGTATAAATAACATGCAGTCTGTGCAGTGTGATGTTTAACATTAATCTTCACTTAAAAAATATTGTTAAACAAAACAATACGCTTGTTAGGGCTTTCTTAGTTTGTGCAAACTATTGATCATATACAATAAGTAATATGAATGCTTACCAGTTACATTTACAAAGGACAATAGCTGCATCAGTAAACAATAAACCCCTATTGGATGATTATTAATCGGTAAGCTGTAATGGGTGACCATTTCACCTTCCTGTTGGAAGGAAACTATCTATACGTGAATTTTCAAAGATGTGAAGCAACATGTCTTACTTCCGCAAAAAACATTTTGTTTCTCGAGACATGCCAGTACACACTACTGCCTCTTTCATCTGGAAATATGAGTGGCTGGAAAGTGCCTGGGAGAAAAGGAAATATGGTAAGGCAGGCTATTACTGCCTGCATAGGGATAATAACTCTAGTCTGCAGAGAGGTTTGGGCCTGTATTATTTGTTGCTTTCAGGGCAGTACAACAGTAGGCCTACATTTAATATTTTCTAGGACAGCAAATTCTCTAGCTTGTTTGTAAAATGTATCAATGAACATTTCATTATAAATCACACGTTTGGTGGGATTTTTAAATTAGAAATTTCAAACCATTTCTCATTTGACATGCAACACAACCTAATCTACCTTAAATTTCTTAATATTTTTGCCCAGACCACATATTATAAAGCAAAAGCTTTCAAAACCCACGTTTATCAATTTAATGTTACAGCACAGTTGTCCGCACTCCACACTCAGCTGGGACCCATATTGTGTTACATTATTCATGCTGAAGTTGCATGATATTCAACCCCTTCCAAAAGATAGAATCTAACCTGGGAGTAGTGCATGAACAGGAAATAAAGTGAAGACAGGAGGTAGGGAAATTGGCTCTAATGGGAGGATGAGTGAGATGAATAAGAAACAGGGTTTATTGCACATATGCGAAGAGAATCATCCCTAAGCAGAGGGGCAGGGAATGAAACTCCAAGTCTTACTGTTATACAAGTCCCACACACACACACACACACACACACACACACACACACACACACGCGCGCACACACACACACACACACACACACACACACACACACACACACACAAGACATATCCTCATAGAATAATCTAGATTATCACCATCTACTGATATTAGCTCCACCGTTAATCACACAATCCACAAAATTATGTATATTGTAAGCAGAGAAGCCTCACATCACCAAAACAGTGGTTTGCTCACTGTAGCTCTAAATCCCCACTGTTTGAATCCTACTCAGTCCCCTGTGGCTGCTTAGCAACCCCTCTCCAGCACAATATACTCTGAATTAACAGGGTAAAGCGTGACCGCTGCCTCCTCAAAACCACGAGTCAAGGGTGCTCTCCCATCATCAACGCCTTCTCTCAGCACTGCAGCAATAAAAGCTTCTGGCTTATTGCAACGTGGCTTCAAAAAACACATACAAAAAAAACAAACACGCTAAAAAGCAAACGCGAGGTACAAAACAGTCCGAAACCCAGACCTGTGTCAGTGCTTCTGGTGGCTCCATGTGATGTGGGCAGTGGAAATAAGGGACCTGATACTTCACAAACAGCTCCATAAGTATAAAAATCTATCACCTTCGCTCTCCCAGATTTACACGATATACAGCTTTAAATGCAGGTTAACGTCCACATGTAGGCCTGTCCTTTGTGGTGTACCTTACATACAACACTAGCTTGTGACCTATATATAACTACATATATGGATGATGACATGCATTGTCAAGCCTTAAATTCAGCCTTGCATCTCACTTCCTCCAAACTGGATTTTCCGCCCTACACTACTTGGCTTCACTGTGGAGTATACTGATGGCTCTATGACAAATTCACTGAGCAGGCCCTGAGCAATAACAAACAAGTCCCAAACCCCTGTCCTCCTGCTACTATAATCCAGAATAAAATGACTCAGTAATGTGGGTTCATCTTCCTGAGTCTCCTCTACACAGAATAGCTGGGAAAACCGCAAGGAACATGCACTTTATGGGGGGAATTTGATACCAAAATGGAGCTCATATTGATGCATTATGTTTACACGATGAGGAAGGGATCAATTTTCATATTAAGTCACAGTGTTCTGCGTGAGAGAAGTGATTCTGTGGCCTGGAGGTTCCATCTGATGGGGCAAAGTTCAACTGTCATTTTGATTTAAGCTCATTTCATTTAATGTTTGAGCCATTATGGGCAGTTGGGTGGAAAAATGAGTCAAATAGTAGT